CAGGTACATGGTATACTTGCCGTGCACTTTGCATCCTAATGGATCCGATCCCTGACCCACTTTGTCCACGGACCACGTATCCAGTCCACTTGTTTTTTAAAATTTCGGCTCATTTTGCGGCGTTTCCGATTTTTGATCGTCAAAGTGGATGAGAAATGCGGATTACCGCTCTCTTTCATGATTTGAGATACTCTTAGCACTATCTTGTCGAGTGAGACCTCGAAACTCCGTGGTGTTTCATCCTGCCTACGCAGTGTTAAGAAAGGTTTCCGGATCGTACGTTAAAACAGAAGTAAACGTAGTCGAAAAGGTGCGCATGGTGTTGGTATTCTTTGCCTTTTTCGCTATGTTCTTAGTGGTTTTGAAGGTTCCAAAGGGCTCTCGCTTTTTCATGCTCAACTCTCCAACTAAGTCGTTCATCATTCTGACCCTAAATAAACGAAACTGGAGCATTCGGAGATATTCGTTTTTTCGAGCGTGAACGGGATATAGGAAATCTATCCGTGCTTCGTCAACAACCTTTTTTTGAGATTTAATCGAAGACCAATTCTCCCACAAACGTTATCGAAATAAGCTAACATTTGTTCTATCTTGCTAATACTTGAGGTTATAAGAACGACGTTATGAGCAATGGAAGGACTGCTGGCCATCGATTTTCACTTCCATGCATTCCATTCCAATTTTAGCGCTACTTTCTCGAGGGCAGTTGTAAAAGATTTTGACGAGAACATATCAACTTGTCGAACCATCTTTCGACGTCAGTGGTGCTGGTATTTTGGTTCTGAAATAAGGACCTTTGTATACTGCGTGGGAAAATCGTAGCACTTCGAAAATGCTGTTTGCTGATATGGCTGTCATTCATCAAGTATTCTACTAATTCTGCTCGAGATGCGAGATTGCACGGTGGATGGCGATGTCCTGCACGTCTCCATTCTTATGCAGCGAGGTCCTGCTGATCTTTCATCAATTTTACACGTTGACTTCGTATATGTAGCATGTGAAAAGCCGAAGCAGTGTGTAGATGAGAACTACAGTGGATTTTCCAAACATTCGGATTTAGTCCCGTGGGAACTGGATATCATACAGTTCTCACTTGCCGGATAGCACGATGGTGTAGTTCAGAAGGAAATTGACATATTCATCTTTGCTGACCGAATGTAGACGTGGCAGTAGAAAATATCGTGGGCATATTGCACCTAGATGAAGTGGTTGTTTCGTCTAAGAGCCATAGGTGAAAATCTCGGTCAAGTAATTGATGAAGTATCAATGACCGTTGATGATGCTCTTTCTAGCTTTTGCAGATTCAGTAAACACTCTTTCGATGGTTTCCTCTCCTTTAGATCTTTTTTCACTTCCCTGATGAGCTTTGCGACTGGGGAGGTCAGCGTCTATTTGCCTGCTGCTTGGCAATGTTGTCAACAACGGTATCTGTGCTGAAGCTGTCCAAAAATGTAAACAAGTTCCAATTCACAACGGTTTTGCGATTTCACTCTTTTCGAAATTTTCTCCTTCCTGCACAGAAAAGACTTGCGCGGAGAGGATAACTCGATTGCAACAAGAAAGGCTTAAATTGACCAAACTTTCGCATTACTATGATGAGATCTATTTCATTATGATACTCTCCATTGGGAAACATTCACGCCCGTTGATAAGATGACTTGTAGAAGAATTGTGAGGTAACATGAATGGTTCTGATCACTGTGATAAACTCAGGAGAGCTATTAACACCTTCTGGGTCCAATGTTATCCTTGAAGTCCCCAGTAAACCTTGTAGAAGGCACAGTCTTCATTGTAGAAGTTACTCAAGTCCATATTTTATACAGCGATCTAGTCATCGTCGTAGTTTGATGTTGAGGCGTAGAGGACGGACACTGTCAACATCTATGTTGGTCAGCATAATTTGAACCTTAAATGACCAGTATTTTTGCTACAAATAAACAAAAACAAACCTCTGGTGCTGGGAAAAATGACACAGGAAAAATAGGAAACGTTAACAACAAAGAACAAGCAAGAACTCGTCTACAGTGCATTGGCAAAGTTAACCTTAACCAATTGTAATTCTGTTTTGCTCTTTTTAAATGTTCTTCTCGCGTAGATGCAATGCATAGATGATGTCAGAGCTACGGCAACATTATACTGGGTTGATATAAAGGAAATGTCCATTTATGAGCGGCAACTTAAAAGTGCTTTGATTCAGCTCAGCCAAAACTCTATTGGTAGGGAAAAAAATTAGAGATTACACAGCTTTGTAAACTTCATCAATGGTTTAACGGTTGGCCGTTTTCTTAGCAATTAGTGGCACAGGTGTGTAAAAAAAATCGTAGCCGCTTGGCGAGTTACCGAGGAGTTTGGTGTTTGAAAAACAGCCTTGTGGGACAACGTATTCAACTTGGACAGCATAGTTGTGCAACGTGATCAACCGAAATCGTTCTAAAAGAACTGGACAGCCAGGTTGCTTGGTGCTAGACAAATACATCGGAATTTTTAAAGGATTTCATCGATTTCACGACAATGCCTCTCTCTTGTGATTTCGTAGGATTGAGAATGTTGTGGTGGATTAATCCAACTGCATGCCACCAAACAGTCCTAATAAAATTTTTATCATAAAGTCGGTTTTGAAATGTTGTTCTTGCTCTTTGCTAGGTGATAATGATACCGACTTCTTCAGGATTGATTGTCCGAGAAAAACAAGTTACTATCACCGGACAATCACAACTATCAACCGTCAGCATCCTGCGTAAAAAGGCATCACCGAACGAGTGAGCCTCATTCGAGCGATGGTCAGCTAAGTAAGACATAACTCGATACGAAGGCGAAGAGGCCACATCGAGACGAAGAAGAACCGTGGAATATCAACTCGGACCGTCGGCTCTGGAGAAGACGAAGACGTCGAAACGCTAGCCAAATAAAAACTGTTTATCAACCTTGTGTAGCTTAACAAAGGAAGAATACAGGTCATAATGGGGTTCTTATGGTGAAGATCTGACTTAAGAAGTAGTCGTAAGTTTCACGTCGAGCCAGCTGTGGTGGCGAAGACGTTAGCTATCGTTTAGAATCCATTCTATATTCCGTACGTCATAATTTGATGAGGAAATGAGTTCTCTGAGATGAGAGAGAGATGTTCTCTGAGAGAGCTACAAAAGAGATATAGCACGCGCTTCATAACGACTATGTCTTTGCTCTCACTTCACTCCGTGTACAACCTATCCACCAGGTTTTCGTACCTTTTCAATGTCTTTCAAATGACAAAGAGTTGCTGAGCAGCTTTTTTTCTTCTGAAACCTTTGAAATAGTTTTTCCGACGGCACTTCAGATGATCACTGTCATCTGCTGATGAACGCCAAAAATCCTCTCATATTTATGTGAGGACCTATTCATCTGTTTTTGAAGCTCACGTTAAGAAACACATCTCTTGTCTAAGTGTTTACATTTTAAGTTTCATTCGCTACGGTAGGTCTAGGTTTGAATTCATGAAGAAAACCGTAGCAAATTGTTGGTATGAGAAAATCATCTCAACGGCGCAAAATAATTTTAACATAGGTGTTAGAAAAACATTAACCAGTCAACCATGAAGCAACTATGGGATTATATCAAGGAAAAATGTAAGTGGTGCTAATTTATGCCAACATGCATTTAATACGTGAGTCAAAAATTAATGCAGGATTTCAACCTGTGCTCTTAAAAATGGCATATCCCATCTCAGAATAAGCTTTGGTAATCGGAATGGAAAGCATTTGAATCCACGGTTTTTTGCCTATAAGAAGCAATATTTAAAAGATAAACAAACATAAACATAAAACTCTTGAACTCTGGAGGTGGTGAAGTTGTTGAACGCGCTCCAGCTTCAGCTGGGTTCCCGAAGCATGTCTCGCCTAGCAACTTGTCCTGATCCTTGAAGAAGTTAGTAGTCGATAAGTGACAAGTTCAGCTAGTACGCTAGAAGCGTCAGAGTTTCGTAACCCACCTCATTCAAAGTTCACAGCGTTAATAGTGCGAGGTATTGCCGATTCGCTAATCTCTTCTGAAACACAACCAGAATTGTCTTTCATATCTTACCCTGCCATGAAAAAAGAATAGGCACTGAATGGAAGTTAACCATTGTGACTTCTCCGAAACAGATGACAGACGTGCGCCGAGTTCTTCGGCAAATTCTCGAACAACAGTATGCCTATTTGCTTTCACCAACGCCCTCAATTCATCTTGCCAGTAGCAAAAGAATGTCCGCGGACTTCCTTATCTTCGAGGTCGAATACGCTCCACGAAATTCTCCAAAGCAACGTTACACTATGCGTTCGTTAACACCTGTTTCCCCGGGCACCTCAGTAATCCTTCGAGGCGCTCGCTCTGCGTACAGCCGAGTTTGAATTGGTAGATATTTTGAAATTCCAACTTCCAATCAATCAATCAAAATTTTGTGAAAATACATTTTATATTGCAACCAAATTACACTGTGCGAAAATACTAGATCACTCGAAAGTTTTTTTTTGCTAAAACATATAGAAGGAAGATAGACTTTGAAAAACCCTCCGCTAATCTGGAAACAACCTAAGATAATGGGCAAAGAATGCCGTTGTTGCTGCTTCACCTAAGAATTGCATGTTTCATAGAGACAGTTACGAGAGTATGGTGTGAATAACAGTTTGCAAGACAATGCTCCCACGCCCACGCACAGTGAACAGGTGCTTGGATTGTGCTGCCGCCGGGATACTAGGCCTCGATAGCATCGTTTCTCCCAGCGATACAAGAAAGGCGAAACGAAGGACCCGCATGGTGTGGTGGTGAACGTGTTAGCGTCCGGAAAGGATAATAGCGTGTTCGATCCCTTTCCCACCGCAGACACAAGCGGTCCTGAGTTCTGCAAATATCTCAGCATCATTGTGATACAACAAGTGTGATGTGACACATAAACAATGTTTATTAACACAGTCGGATTCACTCAGTCGAGTATTCAAGCACTCAAGAAATGGCGATTGTTAACAAGGGAAAAGGTGAAATCGATTTCATTGCGAAGTGGTCTCTCCAAATTTACTCAGATGTGCTGCAGATTTGGCCGGGACAAGTCTCTCATTGTGAACATACGCTTCACACGGATAGCACCAAACCGACAGATCGGCAAGCGAAAGCGACATCGCATGAGACGGTTCTGCCTCATAGTGCAAGAGTGCATGGCCGTGCACGTAGCGTCCGCAGTGCACCTACAAACCAACCATGGAAATATTTTGCTTTCCGAATTCAACAAATTCCCTATATATCTTTTTTCAATAACTGAAGTATTAAACAACCCGATACTTAGGTGATATGTTGACTAGACTTTATACTATTGCTTTAAGGATCTACATGCGTAAAATCAGTGTTCATCTCATTCTGGTCCAAACACTTCCTTCTTTTATTCGTCTCGTTACCCTAATATTTCTAGTCTTTAGAAGTAATGAAGAGTAGCTAAGGATGAAGGATAAAGCTGTCGGTGTTGATCAATCACTGAGAGATACGCCATGCATTCCACTTCATCAAGTATCGTTGGAGGTCATTGAATGCATATCTGGCCTTTATAACGACTCGCGGTGGCCTACCGATGTATCGAGCCAGTGCTGCTATCCTCCCAGACAAGTCTAGTACCAATTTGTCGACCCCAGAAGGATGGAAGGCTTGGTGGGCTAGGGACGCTTGAATCGATCCCACGTGTCGACCACTGCGCTACACGCGCCCCATTGCGAAATATGACTGTAGAAAATACCCAGACCGACAATGAGGGCTAAAAGGAGCTAGAGAACAACGAGGAGATAATACTACTTATAGACCTTTTCAGCAAGTGCTCACCTTGTAGCATGTAAGACAAACCCAGGGTTCTGCTGCATTGTTACATATGTCGCATACAGAATTTGCATCTATTCCCGTCACTGGAACATTACTCGTCTGAAAGCATCTCCAGTTATTCTTCTTCCATCATAGAAGTAACTCAGGATCTAACTCAAACAGCTCGAAACAAGTAGCCACTAGTTTTTTATTTTTAAGAAATAAATCATTCATAACTATAGAGCGTCGATCTCAATACCGTCACTATAATAGCTGACATCAAAGCAAAAGGGCTTGTAACTCAATTCATACCATGAAATGAGCCGTAGTTTTAGAACAGATACTTGTATCTCTTTAACACAAGGCTCATATTCCATAGAACAAGCTCATATTCAATATACCCGATTGCATGACAGTTGGTTCGTATTGCTGAAGAAGAGAACGATATTGAAGCAGTACCTGGTTAAGATGTGGACAGGACGGAAGGGGAACGACAGCGTGAAGACCCAGTGTGACTTCTTCCACTTCAGAACTTGTACGTTCTTGTTGCATCGTGTGGAAATAATGAGCTTCGTTTCAGTAATACAAAGATTCGACCGACCGGTCTGGTGGTAGATCCAGGGAATGCTGTAAGCTCTTCGCGAGCAAATCTGATAAACATGTGAAGACTAGCTAACGTTTCACTTTTACGAAAACATTTTTAAATCTCATGAATTTTTGAACCCAGAAGAACATAGGTGGATACGCTTGACCTAGAACGAACCTGATTTCGAACTAATGCTCCAATCTTTGGAAAATAAACCCAGCTCCAACTAAACTGTCAACGCTTCACATTTGTAGATGTAACGGCGCATTTAATGCAGTGGTTATAGGTGTTCTGCAACACATACTGGGATAGTCGCTGGTTGGGTTCCGCGACCCAAATCACCAAGCCTTCCATTCCTTCGAGGTCCATGAGAATTGCTACCAGACCGTTCAATGGGGTACAGAAGCACTGACTTGATACAACGTTAAGCCTCTGCAAGTTATAATAGCTTGCGCCAAACATGCATTCATCCATGTCAATCGATCACAGATGCTTGATGGAGTCCAATTTATCGCGCATCCATCAGAGATTGATGAATGCTGAACATTTCTCCCTTCACACTTTGTAGAGACTATATGATATAACAACTGATTAGCAATTGAAGCAATAGTTCGCAAAACTTGGACCCCAGGCCAGATCGAACCACGATTACACCTTCCGGGGGCTATCCCGCTGACGGGTGATTGGTGATGTTAGAGTTAGATAGAAAACTATGCCAGAGAAAGGCAAAGGAAGGGCCTCGGTGATGTATTGTATAACCGCGGGCCTCTGGAAAGGGTAATCATTGGTTCAGTCTGGCCTAGGGTCCAAGTTTTGCGAATATCTCAGCATCATAGTAATTGTACCTCACATCATAGCTTGCGTGAAAATTATAGCAGACAGCAAAGAATTGATATTGAGGTAACAGCCTCCGAAAAACTGCACGTGATTCACGAAAAAAAAGCACTTCGTAAAATTTAACTAGGCGTCATCATTTGGTCGAATTAGATTGGATCGTCAATCATAAATCGATAATCAGGATGTTATTTCGAAGTGCTTCATCTCTTCGCGTCTTCTTGAAGAACACCACAGAATGTAGAGCACTTCGTTATCTTCTCAAGAAACTTTGGAGCATTTCTTAACAGACGTAAGCAAACGATGAAATAACTCATGCTAACACACCAATCCTCGACATTTTTAGAGCTTCGAGATATTCATAAATTCATTTTTTATTACATAAAAAAGAAATAGAAAATGGGTAAAACCCACTGGAAAGTAAATGGTTGGATAACCTGACAAATATGTGACTAGGAAAAATGCGTGGTACTAGATCTAGCAGAAAGCCAAATGTACAAACGACTGGAAATTTCGTCTAATTGAAATCAACATGATATAGTTCAAAAAGTGCCTGAGAATAGATCTAGAGATATGAGGTAGGAATTATGCCTAAGTTTATACATCAGTACACCTAGTTGATACAACCTTGAGTCCTGAAAAGCACTGAGATTCCGATGAAACTAATATTATGAGGGGTAAATTCTGAAGTGACTAGCGAAACATTCGGATCTACACAAGACACTAAACAATGACGAAGATAAGAAAGACTTATTTTTAAATTCAAGAAAGGAAAGAGAAGCTAATGAACCATGATCATCACATAGCTATGCAAAACAGGCGGATATATGTAGCACAATCAAAAATAGAATGAGACATATTGAACAACAAAAATGGAATTACAGAATTTCGCAAGGTGTACGGGATTGTGGACACTGGAAATTGTAACCTACAAGTTGAAGGATTCCTATAAGACATAACACAGTAAAGCTATAAATGTTCTAAATTCATCCTCCCCAACTGCTCTTCGATATCATTCATAGCTGCGATTCGTGGAGATCGTCGAACAGGACGCTCTTCAGTGGGTTTTGGCAGCTGCTGATTTTTCGTAACCTTCTGCTTTACCGATGCCTTCGGAGCGAAGTATTTCTGATTTTGCAACTTTTTACTCTTCGTTATCTCACACGTCACTTCTTTGCTTGCAATTTATATACCTCAAAAAATTTCCTAAAATTATGATAATGATGGAATTGTTAGGTTACAAAACTTTTATAAAAATTAAAAAATTAAAAAAATGAAAAAAAAATAAGTAAAAAACTATGACTAGTAGGCAAATCATTAGCGAAAATTAGTTATTATGAAAAAACTATGAAATTACTTAAAAATTATTAAAATAGAAGTTTACGAGGACACACTACGTAGGTTTAAATAAGAAAACAACGACTCGACCGCCCGTAAACCCTGATAACAATGAATGACCTTGAGAACGTTCCATTCACTTTTCTGTTCCTGTTACAGTTACAAAACGGCAGATCTATTATGAATGTAAAATAGATGTTGCTTCAAAAATCTTCTGAATACTACAAGATTCCAAAAGAGGAAATGATCACCTGAAATCCTTTCAAGCAATTCCAATATTCCTCGTGGACAGTAGCCACACCTCGAATGCTATCCCATATCCCTCTGTGCAATCTGTATCTATAAACGGTGCGGAAAGGTCTAAATATCAAGTGAGGGTGAAACTTGAAAGGAAAAGGAGACGTACTGAAACTTTAAATCGCTTGAATCGTCAGATTCCATGACCGTTCTAACTCTACCGTCAACCATTACTCGACATACAGCAGCAGCACACTTCGCCATCATATCGAGATTATAGCCTAAGACTTAGATTATACTTCCGTGAAAACGAGGGCAGATAAATTATACCTCTATGGATATGAACAAAACCCATTTCGTCAATGAAACTACTACCTAAACAGAAGCTTGGATACGCTGGCTACTCTTTAGAGAACTTAAGTGCCGCAACTCAACACAAATTTCGCTTATTATCTTCAACTGTAATCATCGGCGGTTGGTTCAGCATGTCTAGTGCATTGTGGCATCTGGCAACTGACTCCCATTAAACGACGTTTGGATGGATTCACTAAACGTTGTTCCTCACCAGGTGTTGTGGTCACCCTCCATTTGTGTGACTTTTCTTACAAATAAAAGAACAAACAATTCAGTCGACTACAAAGATATGAAAGTTGGAAGTCCAACTGACGACTTAAGATTGTCTTAATTCACTGTATTTAAGAAATCACCGTTTAAGCATGCTATTGGTGGTGAAAAAACCTTCGGTTTGGATGAGAACCCGATCAAAGTTCAATTAATATTGTAGAGGGCCTGTAGAGTTGTGGCATGGAAATGGTCAACATAAAGATCTACACCTGTCAGCTAAATGGTGGATTACTTGAGGTCCAAAAGCAACCCATGCTGCATTTCGTCTTTTGTGCCGCTCATCTTCCATGTCACTCATTCTTTCATGTAACCCCTTAGGTACCACTATAAGGAACATAACCCATCTTAATATGTTCTTTACTATACCAAGTGCTTATCATGACTTCGACATTGTAATTTGTTTTTAGTGCAATCTTTTCACCACCTTCGTTACGTCCAGTCAATATCGCCTCCACTTCATTGATTCAAGGTAGAAAACAAATTACATGGATAATTAGATCTCACCGGCTGTAGGAGCCCCAGAACAATCTCCATTTTCCGTAGTTTTGCTGGTTTAGCTATTGTTTCCTTGGAGTCCCGAGGTCAGCCTAGCTAAAGTCTTCCCCAGGTTGTCACCAATACAGGCGGTCACAGCCGTTGTGGATCAAAGAGAGACTTGCCACCACGCGATTAGTTTGATACCAGGATAGCATGGGATCCTGGTTTTGGTTTACTGCCAGTTGAACTTGTTCGCAGAAACGCCGGACTCCTTCTTAGTATGGAAGACCTTGGTGAAGGAATGAATCCCTCCCGCAGTACATCGCTGCCCGATATCCAGGAACACCTCCCAGCCACGATAAGGCGGTAAACCGTTGGGAGGGAAAACAAATTAGTAGTTTGATAAATAAAGTTTATGTTCACAATGTCTTCACAATCTTCCGTTCTTAATTATCTAACATATCAACTAAAGACGCTTTTAAAATTTATAAGACAGAAACAAAGGAATAACCAAAACCAGTGCAAAATGAAATTTTGTAAGTGGTAAAATTTTCACGAAAGGACAAGATACTGACCTAGACAATGAATAAAGATAGAAACGGTGTAGTGGAGTAGTAATCACGAAACCAACCTCCTTCCAGCACAACAACAACTCGGCCACCGGCCAGCGCCGTCAATTGATAGGTCATTAGAGCAAACGTATCAGGATTAACCTAGTTAGAGACCTTGGAAGATCGAAAAGTCGAAATTTGATGGAGTAAGAAAAACGACCTACCATGCATTCACCTAGGGGGTCACCAGTAGCAGCATCGAAGCCGGCCGAGATGAACACCAACTCAGGATTGAATTCATAAGCAATTGGCATAATCACCTGAATGCATGGCATTAGAGTGATAGGTGTCATAATGTAACCTAAGCAAAGAAACGGATAAAGTAGGAAAACCACTACCGCCCAATAAACGAACTTTTCCGAATGCAGCACGATAAGCTTCGTCATCGATTCTGCCGTGATTCCACGGTAGGTTAAATGAATAACCTTTTCCTTTTCCTTTCCCAACATTTACATAGTCCTTTGTATCGCCCACTGGGTAAAAAAGCCCATTGTCATGACGATGGACCGACATGTATAGCACTCTGTTGTCCTGAAATCAAATACACTTTACAGTGAAAGGAAGCAGCAGCCGAATCCAGGAAACCAACATCATCAAATATCTGTTGAGTTCCATTTCCATGATGCACATCCCAATCAAAGATCAGTACTCGCCGTATGTTGTACTTATCGATGGCATACTAAATAAAAAGGATAAAGCTCTCAGCGTTGATACCAATCCCTTAAGGATGCGCCATAGATTCGACTTCACCAAGCATCGTTTGGAGGTGATTCAATGCATATTTGGCCTTTATAATGACTAGCGGTGGCCTACCGATATACCGACTCAGTGCTGATATCCTCACAGACAAGTCTGGTACAATTTGCCGACCTCGGAGAGATGGAAGGCTTAATTAGCCAAAAGCGCAGAGATCGATCCCATGTGTGTGTTGCAGAGCGCCTCCGACTACTACGCCACACGCTCATGTAATGGCACACTAGATTTAAAAAATAATAGAATACGGTTTGGAAATTGTGGATATATTGTGACGTAACGTACACCAAACGAGAACAAAACACTGATTCAGTTTCAAGAAGATCCGGAGTTATTTTTGTGCCCAGTCAATAAACTCTTTAATGCAGTGAACACGGATTACTTCCATAGAATAGATAGTTACAAGGATAGAAACGACCAATCAATGGAAGTCAGCACTGTATCCTTCAGGAAGTGGTAACAGCTTAAAGCCGTGAATGGTATTCTTGCAAATATCCCGCCGCTGCATTGCAATAAAACACCTCTCGAAGAAACATGTGTTTTGAAATCTGACTCGGAAACAAATTGTACAACGCTCTAAGAGACATCGAAGAAACAAAACGTAACAAAAAAAACATCTTGCACATGGCTAGAAGATATGTAATTCGAAAACAGCAGACAAATACTTTATTAAAAAAAAACTGATTAATCCACAAATCCTAGAAAACGATTAAGAACTAATGTTCCAAAATATGTATTTCCCAAATTACGAACAGAAACTGTAACTGAAGAAACAACTCACCTTCGTCGCGACGGCTACGTTGTTGAAAATGCAAAAACCACTGGGCTCGGATATGCCAGCATGATGGCCTGAATTTGAATTCGTTGTCGAAGACTATGTTTATCCTAACTGGTGGTGCTAACCTGGTGGGCGAATCACTGCGAATGCATTCAGCTCACCGACAGCAGCGCTCAGTACTCGGTCGACACACTGAAATATCATAATAGAAGCATTTTGGGATACAGAAAGCGAAATGGACACAAGTAGTTTCATGGAAGAAAACCACTACTGTTGTGCAGCACGGCTTTTCCACCTATATAATCACCTTGGATGTCCAAATGTCCATATCGGTTACTGATTTTAAAAAAAAGCCTTGTCACTCAACGAAGTTTTATACCCCTGTTCATACCATATACCACTCTCAACACTTCAGTATTAACGAGTTTATCTGCTCCGCGACCAGCTTAAATAATTTACATAATAATTTAAGAAAAAAGGAAATAGAAGCCAGTTTTTCCACTAAGTCAAACTTGTGCGAAAAGGTGAGGGAACAGTACTCCCATCATTAAACTTGTATTTCAACAAAGAATCCAAGAACGATGAAACACTGGTTTCTAAAGAAATCGTGATGAAGATGACAACCTTCAAGATAAACAAGTTAAACGGCAACGAGTCATCGACGACGATAGACAGATCCATGCACGACAAACAGTTCAACAGCACGCAGAACAACTAGGCGCAACTGGAACAGCAGCTCCAAAAGACGCCGGCCCGAGCAAGAAGTGGAAAGAACCAAACGAATAGGTTGAATAGATCCCATGAACTGATTGGAAATGTAAAAAGGTCACCGCTAGAAAAATCGATCTTCGCTTCCTTCGCGTCAGGTGAACGACGAATTTGTGCATTGATTGTACTGTGAAATGCAACTGAAACTGGATTCCTTACAATCGAATATGTCTGCCAGAACGCTGTATAACAGCGATGCACGGAAACACATCGCGAGGTGAAACTCGCATCAAAAAAGCCCACGGTGGTGACTGCTCCATTATCGACACCCGTTATAGTTTATTAAATCTGAGCGAAAACACCACCACGGAAAGGTACTATCACAAAATGGATAGGACAGATAAAGAATTGTAGCTTCGGTGGCCGGCAATTGAAACGGATACCCTGTTGTTTTTCAGTGCCTGACCGCACATAAACTCGGTATTGCAAAACTTAGGCTTAAACAATTAACGCCTCTGAAAGCCCACAATTTTTTCTGTGTAATGTGCACTTCAGATTGCGGTGGGTAGTGCAGTAGTAATGACGCTGCTGACCACGAGCACGGTGCTCGTTCGCCACGTCCCCAGGCTCACCAAATCTCCCATTCCTCAGAAATCGAAAAATTGACGCTAAACTTATTTAGGACCAACTCACTCCCTCTAATCCACGTTGGGACAACTTGTTAGGGATATTCCAATACTGGGAAGTCTCACTGATCATCATTCAGCGACATCCATAAAGAAGGGGATAGTCCACGAGCAGTCGAACCCACGCGTAAATGTACGAAGACCTCCGTGGATAATGGATGCGAGGAAACGAATCGAATGGAAGAAGTGGTGTATATGGGTAAGAAATGTTTCGACAATAACACATTACCATTTCGACTAATGTCTAAAAAGAGGTGAATGGGAATTTTAACCTTCAAACCGAAACCAATTTACTGGCAATAATAACACTCTCCTTAGCATCGTTGAAACTCGAACACGCACTATCGCAACTGCAGTAATCAAGAAATATCTTTTTTTTTTTTTTTACAATAACATGACTTTCTTTCTCTAATAAAAGTTCGTATATATGTATATGTACATATATATGTGCATGTATCATTTTTTGCTTATATGACACAACCTAACATAATACGCGGATCTCAGTATTTTGTCTACTTAGTTAGTTGCCTTGAATCCACCACTCATGAAGATCTTCGAGTATGTACGTGGGATGAGCAAACACTTGACAGTTTTGTTTTCTCCATGAATGTCACAACGGTCCTGATTGTGTGAAAGTAGAGTCGACTTAGACTAAAATACGGTCTTAACATAAGAACTACGTAAATCCATCTAGACGAGGTTAGTTAATTTATACACTTTCCCAGTTCACAGATTTCCTCCATAAGTTAAGGTTACGCAGTAAACGGCTAAACTTTCTCAACATAGCGGTATCGTAACTCCACCTACACAGGTTTTGGCAAATTTATACCCTCTCAAATACCTTTCCTGAGCTAAGGTTAAGGAATTAAACAGCTACAAACAGCTTTTCCGAGCTGAATGCATAATACTCTGTGTCTGGACGCATTCAGTGGTTGCCAAGCAACACAATTTAGCGAATAAAAGAAGCACATAATAAACGCCATTTCCTGCTTCAAAACACGTGAATGAGAGAATTTCTCTATGGATTTCAAAATATAATGGTTGAGGTGGCCCAGCGCAACGAATACACTCTCTGATCCCATGAGTAAACATGTACCCACATTAGTCCAACCATTGGCCTGTCAACTTGTGCACATAACTCTTTTTAAATTCAAACACTTTCATCTGTCCGAATTAAAGTGAACAACTGCCGATGTTTTAACATAAAATTGTAAAGAATTCGCATGTAAAATTCACGTCCCTTCCTATTCTACTTTCTTTCGGAATCAGAAAACAGCTGTCAATAAATCATTGAACGGAAATCACTTCGTATAATCCATACAGGATCAGAGAATTAAACTGTAAGAATTTTTGAGAGAAAATATCAGATTCACCAAATATCTAATCACTAGAAGAATTCAGATAATGGTCAAACGGTACATAATTCAATACCGCTGGAAAGCAAACCGATCCATGATGATTCACCAGCATACAGCTTCAATGCATTAGCGCATACCAGCGCCGAATCAATAAACTTCAAATCGTATTCAGCTTCCAGGTAGTGCTCGGAAACCTCTGTTAAGAACCAATTTTTCTGGCTCTGTTCTATATCCAGAAGTTTCTGGAAGTGAATTCAGCGCTTCATGAATTCTTTTTGGGACGGACATCCCCAATCAAACTGATAAGCACTCGATAACGCTCTCGGCGACGTGGCAGCGCCGTGAAGGGGCCGGTTCGCCTCCTCGAGCCGTGGCTTCGTCACCGATGCTGAGTTGAGGGTGTGTCGTAGTGCGACAAATTCAGTTGCAAGCCCCCGTACCACAACTGTCGCTGTCACCCTCTCTTTCATCGATTAAGGCATCGTTCTAACTGAATTTTTTGTCTACGACCAACCTATACCTGTTCTTCATTGGGACCAAATTTGATCAGAACACCGTAACTAACGGTGGTATGGATAGACATCCTCCAGCCTACGCTATTTAGAACAAAAAGAACGAGAATGCCATTTTCGAAATAGTCCCTGTAAAACTGATAAGCTCCATGTTCTACGTAGCGGCGGTTTTTGCATTGACATGATAAGTGGGAGGAGAACCTGTAGATGTGAAGTGGTTTAACCGTAATCACTTCACATCTACACCGTAATCAATGTCGGCACATCACCTCACGCACTACATAGGAAACACTTCACTGCAGCTCAATAATGGTTTAAATTGAACTAAATTTTAATTTTTTAAACTTAAAAATAAATTTAAAAAATGACAAAAGTCTCCATTCAAAATAAATCCTGCACTAACAAGCCCACACTGCTCCTAACGACTATAGTGGTTTCCGTCAACGTCCAACTAGCAATGCGACGATTGGAAAAACCGTCTTGCACACCTAAGTTAAATCCTAATGGTAATTTTTAGAGCTGGATGTCAGTTGAAGCCGATTTCAACGATGGAGCCGAATTAGACGTTCCGCCGTTCTCAAAACTTCTTCATCCATCGTTCCTTGTGCCGTTTACTGTATATTTCGCCTGTTTTCGACTTGCTAATTTATATGTGAAGACTTCCCTCTGGCACAACTATACGGATTTCAAGTGGGTTCATTACTTCTTAGAATTCATGCCAATGCAATACAAGGGTGGTATTTCTTCGTCAAACTGAAGACAACAGTCGTTCGTACTCCAAGTTTTCCAGAAGGTATCGACTGCAGAATTTGTCAATTTGCCTTCTCCATTCTGTGATTGCGGGTGTCTGGTCAATAGTTTTTTTCTTCATATACACAAAAGAGATGTTTGAGAATGTCATCCACTGGTATCAACCATGGGCTGTTCACTTGCCGATTATTTCAATTGGTTAGTTTACAACTGAAATTACAAATGGCGGGACAAAGTTGTAGTACTCCTAGTCGTAGTGCTCACGAATTTTCTCTTATCGCAATCTTTACACTACTTCTAATATAAGTTCTTTTCTATGGGGTGCAAAACAATGTAATGACAAAATTAGAGCCTGATGTCCAAGACTTTTCTTCCTAGGTGTTCAAATTTTGATAAGCTATATTCCAGCTTATTTCGCACATGACGCTCTTGATATGATCAATCACGAGTGGTCCCGGTGGGCAACCGAGTTGCTTCTCCATCACATCGCCGCCAGCTTTGCTCTGCTCTGTGGTATTCTGCCTCGCAAATTCTTGCTGGCAAATTATTGGGCTTTGCTGATGGAAGGTAACAGGTCGGACTTTTACTTTTATCAGGAAATCATGTGCCACAAACATGGAAAGTGTTTTAAAATCTGGATTATTCAGCATATTCCTGCACATGCGCACCATCATGCAAATCTCCGGACAGTCCGTACAACATCCAGCATTTTATAGAGCGGTAATTCGTTGCAATATCGTATCGTAGGTTTTATCAAGTTTTATCTATTAACAGTGTCAAAAATTCATTCCGTGATATTCGGTTAGCTTTTGCGAAGAAGTCTTAGTAGTTTTTGTTACATTTCCTAACATATGCACAACAAAATATCCACATATCCATAACGAGAGTGAAGCGTGGACATATGTTAAAAGTGTGGCTAGCCATCTTCTAGTCTCCTCCATTTCTCCGCAGTAGCGAATTCAATCATGGGAAAAAAGCGAAAATGAAGAGGTGGAAACATACAATCCATACAACAACCGTCTACTTGAAGCCCACTATATGAGTTTGCACAGCGCTCGAACACACTTCACGCCCTATGTAACGCTTGTATTGATTGTGGCTGTGCACTTATCCAAGTATTCGTGCTTACAGAAAACGACTATGCTCATACAAGTTCTTTGCAGTAGGTTCCCACCTAGCATAAATGGAAGCTGTTCTCATTAAAGTGTACCAAATTACCAAGAAGGCAGGAATGACGTAATACGTGTTTAACAGATTCGCAACAATGTCTAATCCTCGATGTCTGCACAATGTTAAAAAAGTATAAAACTCTCAGCGTTGAACAATCTCTGAGGGAGGGATACGCCATGCATTAGACTTTATTAAGTCTTTTGGAGGTGATTTGGAGGTGACTGAATGCATATCTCGCCTTTACAATGACTAGCGGTGGCCTAACGATGTATCGAATCAATGTTGCTACCTTCCCAGACAAGTCTGGTGCCAAATGGACACCCCGGAGGGATGGAAGGCTTGGTGAGCCAGAGGCGCGGGAATCGATCCCATGTGTATTGCAGGGTGCCTCCGACCACTGCGCCACACGCGTCCCTGCACAATGTGACGAGATCCGATTTTCGCCAACTGCGAATTGCATTGGAATCAATGGAAAGGGTCGCAAATATGTTAACAGTGTCAACAGTGTCAAAAAAGAATTTCGACAAACGGCAGCCGTTCGAACCAGAGCAGGAACACGACAGTTATCCAAATACTAAGGAGTTAAACCAGTAACACACGCCCAAAATTAAGATTAACAAGTAAAAGGGGTAAAACAGAGAAGGTTACGTTTTAGATATGACCCAAAGCCCGTGCACCTTAATGGAACAACAGAATAGTGTCAATGTTTGAGAGCTTCTGCGCGATAAGATGGATAAGAAGATTTTTATGGTGATTTGAGAAAAAAAATTGTCGGCAAAATAATATAGAAATCGCTGAATAACTATTGTTTCTAAATAATGGACGATACCACTAAGCTTCCAAATATGCGACTTTAATAATTGAACAATGTAGTGTTAAGTATGCGAATTTTGTTCACGAGACGTACAAAATATGTTATTTCGAGAAGTACAAAAGCTATCACTACTTGGATACTTGGACGGTCCGTTATCACTGGTTGTGCGGGCCCCAGCATAGTCTCCATTATTCGGAGTTTTGCTGGGCTGGCCATTGTGTTTCCTTGGAGTCCCTGCGTTAGCCTGACTAAAGTATGCCCCAGGTCCTCACCATCACAATCAGTGGCAGTCCTTGTGGATCAGAGGGAGATTTGCCACCATACGACTAGTTTGATACCAGGATGGTCCTGGTATTGGTTTAGTCTTACCTAGGCTTCCTGGTGGAAGCGCCGGATTCCTCAGCTTAAGAAACCTTGCTGGAGGACGAATCCCCCGTTGTACATCACAGCACTACGCCTGGAGAACACCTCCCAGCCACGATGAGGCGGTAAACCGTTAGGAGGACAAAAAGTTATTATTTTGTACTAGTGCAGTCTGTCTAGTAGTTATTGAACTAAAAGCAACTAGACTTCCTTTGAAAATGAGTGGCAGTGATCGCATTTCAGTATGGTCGTGTGTCGTTTTCTTTCGCAAGCACTATTTGTTCAATGGGCGCTGCACCACGTCGGTCGGATGCACCCGTTCTTCGCCTGTGTTGCCGTGGGTGGACCAGCCATTTTCGCCGTTATCAACGTCATGCTCTTTTTCAGAATACTCGTCGCCGACGGATTTCTCGATAAGCAGTGGCGGTCAATGGTGGCGATAAACAGGTAACTTTAGTTTGTTGATATATTGTCGGTAACGAAATAATCTACTAGAACAACAGCCTCAGAGCACTGAAAGCGATACTCAACGTCGAATTCAATGACTAGAGGACATTTTGCCATAAAAAAGCAAGAGTTTAAAAAACAAAGTGGTGACAAGTCCTAGTGATCATTATTTTAAAGTCGAGTTCGTTAATGCTAAGGTATTCGTCATTAATGAGAAAGATAAGGAACATATATTCAGAGATGACAACGGTCTGAACAACAAATGCAACAACGAGAAGCTGAAGTAAGGACCTACATCGAGCAATTAGTCCCTCTTTTTCTCCCTCTCTCTTCTCATTCTGTCAATTTGCACTTCATGACAAAATACGTCTCCGTCGATGCCTTTATATAGGTGTAATCTTATTTGTCCATAGTTGCAGGATGTAAATACGTCCACTGTTATGGACTAGTTTCATAGTCACTGCCATGTTTGCTATATTGAAAAACATGTTATTATGCAGAACAACTCGGAATTACTTTGTAACTTTATGATTTTTCATTCTTGGTTTATTGATGAACGAGGTTGTTACAAACCTTTACTACTGCTCAAGCGTTACTCCGGTGAAGAAGGCGAAAACGCCGAAAGGTTGGTTGCAATAAAGATTCGTAACAACCCACTTAGGATTATCGGTAAACCAAGACAGTGACTATTCATGCCAAGGCTAAATGAAAGTCGTTATTGAAAGGACTCATTTGCTTTTGTATGCAGGATCGCAATCGTTGCTGTTTGCAACGTCAACAACAATGATACACATTCACACACAAACCGTAGTCGATAGTGACATCGACTTGGTTCTCAGTAGCATTTGTTTTCGTAATTAAAGGCAAACGCCATTCAACATTCTCATTACATCGACTGATGAGAAGAACAGTAATTCTCAATGTGACATTATATAAAGCCATACATACCTCAAGGACGGAACCTGCGGCTCGTCTAGCAATGGCGAAGGTGTCTCTAGTGAGAAAAATGGAATCGAGTCCATCCTCAGTTATCCGTAATTCATTATCTGACATCTGTAAAGAAAATCAGAAGTAGCTATACAACCCCGAGTAGAATGTGGTCTTAGGAGAACAACATATTCGTATATTGCCTGATATGAACCTTACAAAAGAAGGCAATTAGAATTATCCTCATTAAGCTTCCCCAAACGTGATGTTACACACAGCTTAGAAGAGAAAGCTGGACTTAACTTCCTGTGCAAGAAAGGTGAAGAAACAGCGCCATAGAAAAAGTGTGGTGCTCTCCGTCTCCCTTCAATAAAAAATGGGGAACACAGTGAGCACCCCAGGTGCGCCATGGGGACGAACGAGGTTGCTAGCTCTCATACGAGTTGCTGGATGATAAAATGAATTAAAAATAATGAAGATGACTTTTCCAGGTAATTTATTTTGTTGCAAAATTCCTTTCTTGCTATGCTTTTGGTACTCAGTAGACGGTTTCTTAAAACAGATGTGCCACTCGCCATCGTAGATGAGCTATTCTCTACATCTCAGAATACCAAAAAAAACCCCCAATTTCCTACCAGTTTGTTTTACGTTGCTCATGTTGATAGCGAGGAAGATGCTACCACTTCTCCTAACAACCACGAGAACTGTTCCTTTGATGAGGAGGATTCTGAGATCCTAAGAAGGAAATAATATGCGCGCTTATTCCTCTGCTTCGAAGTAGTGTGTCTTTGGAGACATTGAGGACTATCAACTCTGTTTTGAAATCAGTTTGTTCCACAATATAAAATCCTTGCTATTTATACTCGTACATACTATTTACAATAATTACCCTTTACAATCGGACACTTGTTATGTAGTGCTCACAACCATTACCAAATTAGTTTTGAAGATTTACACTTCTTATGGGTACTACTGACACAATCTTACAAAGGATTCATTTCATTGGCTGCGTCTAGCTCTCAGGTTGATAGTGCCCGCGTATTCGGAGTCCCTGCTAATGCCTTATAGCATGTAGCCTCTTTAACTGCAAAATTTGAGCAAGTATCACAAACGAGCATTATGAAGGCATTCAACTTTCCTTCTAAACGCGCGCGAGAAACTTGTCGATAATCATGTTTTTGCCGATCATATACACTCCCGTACAATCTCTATTGATACTTTCAATAGGTGATCTGATCTTGTACTTGTCTTCCCCATTATATCTCGCACTGTCGAACGAATGGAATTGGGACAACAGCTTCTCAAATATCCCTTGTCATCATGGAGGATGACATGCTAAACCAAGACTGGAGCTACAATATTCCTTTGACCGTTGCATTACAACAATTCTAATCTGAAGGTCGAAACTGGTAAAACTTCTCATTTCCCCAAACGCTGTTCGTTTGCACGACTACCTATTTATTGTCTATATCCGTTCGTCTCTTTCCTAACAGATCTCGGATATCTGTCATAAATATTGGTCTTGCGCATCCAAAAAGGATTGATTCACGCCAAAATAACCATCAACGATGGTGCACGGCTCACGAAAAAACGGTTGCACCAATCACCATTTATCTCTTTATCATCCTAGTCCTCATATCTAACTCATTTCCTTCACGCCATTCCGAGGGATAGTAAAAGAGACCCATTATTGTCCATAAAGTTTAATTCAATTATAACTCGCGACTCAAGTATATGAAATCCAATTTAGCCGTACAACCTGGTTAATTTTTCCCTCTTTTGCAACCTCTAAGATTAATTATAGTTGGCATAGAATGCACGAATATAAAGAACATCTAAAAATACCTAAATATACTCAGCATATATTGTGAAATCAAATACCTAAGGCCAACAACGCCGTGGTTGCATGGTGGGGAACTTTCTTTTCGTCACACACAGCAGTTGAAAAGCCTCCAAAAACAAAACAAAGTGTAAAGGTGATAGATGATATGCAGAATATTAAAAGAAATTACCACTAATAAAACAAATACTGAAGCCTAATTACTTGGATACTTGGATAGCCCGTGCACACTTGTCGTTTGGTCTCCAGCATAATCTCCAATCTTTTTGAGTTTTGCTAGTTTAGCCATAGTGGTTCCCCGTAGTCCAGAGGTTAGCCAGGCCAAAATCTGCTCTAGGCCGTCACCACCACAGGCATTTATGGACCTTGTGTATCAGGAGATTTGCTACCTTGTAACTAGTTTGGTACCAGGACGGTAACGGATCCTGATATTGGTTAACTCTTAACTGGGCTTCCGCAGCCCAACACCCAGGAACACCCAGCCACGATGAGGCAGTAAAAAATGCCAATTATGGACTGAAAATCAGTACGTTGTCCACTATTTATTGTCATTAAAATGAATTCCTCATGTGAGCGGGGACGTAGTGTTACCAGCACGAATTGGATTCAACTCACAGTGTCTACGGTAAGAAATCACTACGTCGTAGCCCCGCCATTGCAACACAAAACTGCGCGTCATCGCGAATTTATTTAAAAAGCAGCTGAAGACACTATAAAGACAACATAACAAGAATGCTTACTCGTCTTTAGTGTAATTTGTACTGCTTAAGACAGAATAATAATAGTTAATAACAGTCTGGAGTAGTCATCAACTTCTTTATTGAGCTTTACTATGTGAGTACATGGATTTACCTCGACTGTACGCTTCATTTTCTGGATGTAAGGCCTCTCATGCACTGCTTCTAGTTCGGTCTCTGTAGCCAGCCTTCTGTTCTCAACGACTTCACATCGGGAGAGCAAATTACATTCTTCGAGTTCCTTCAATATCTAAAATATATGTAGTTAGTTGTTACAGTGTTGCGACAGAACATGTGTGGGCAACCTTCTCCTGATCTGTTAAGGAGGAACGAACTACACTCACAAAAGTTACTTCTCGTGGCGCAAAACGTTTTCAGACAGAATGATGATAAGCGGTCCGACCATTAAGTAGGAATATTTTGCACTAATAGTAATATATCGAAACATATACGACCTTACTCTATGCAATGAAATGTAAACATAATTTTCCAGAAGTGCTATATCACCTTTAAAGTCGATACAAATTAAAACTTCAGAAGAAAACTAAAAATTTCAATTTCCCAAATCCTAACATACACCAGAGCCGCCGCAAACAATAACGACAGATCCAGGGAGATCATCGGATTCAGATGGACGAAATGCTGCCTTTTGTAGTAACTCCCAAGTCCGACTTTCTATTAACCCGCTGCCTTTTGTGTTCGAGATATAAATACTGACACCAATAGAATTAATAGGTACGATTTATGGACTCCCGTTTTCGTATTAAAATAGGAGAAGTTGTACACTGCGGTAAAAACCTTTCACCAATGTCAGTGTTGACTTTCTCATGCATCTATTATACAGGTCTCGTTCCAATTCTCGACTCGATAGTATGGGAGACTAGGTGAGCCCTGTACGACAAACCGAAGAGCTGAGTATGTACTGCAAGGCAGTTCTATTAAATGTAACAAACGTGCACATTCGGATAACGCATATTTGAAAAATGCATATTTCATTGTACACTAGCGGAATATAGAACAAACAGATTGGCAAGCTCTGGGACTGCGATCGATTCAACTATCATGTGCATATTAGAGGGAACCTCTAATTCACCGCCACAAGAATCTGTTTCGTGATAAAAAATAAAAAAGGATAAAGCTCTCGGCGTTGATCAATTCCCGATGGATCCGTTCGGCTTCATCAAGCATCGTTTGGAGGTGATTGAATGTATATCTGGCCTTTACAATAACTAGCGGCGGCTCACCGATGTTTCGAGCCAGTGCTGCTATTCTCCTAGACAAGCCAGGTACCAACTTGTCGACTCTGAAGTGATGGAAGGCTTGGCGGGTCATGGGCGCGGGGATCGATTCCACGTGTGTTGCAGGGCGCCGCTGACCACTTCGCCACACGCACTCTTGTTGCGCGATATCGTCCATAAATAAGGATACGCACTATTTTAGATACAACAGCCAGAAAATAATTATGGCGATAAAATGGGACGGCCTATAACCCGACTTGTCTTCAGAGGAAACACCCTCCCTAAACAACCAGTCAAATGGAAATTGCGATGAAAACCTTGTGATTTGCGAGAACGGATCACTCAAATATCAAGAACCTAATGTTCGCTTTTAGGTTGAATATCACACCTACTTTAACATAATTTCGGCTACGCTTAATTTTCGTTGGCGGGAGCGTTAGACAACGTCGAATCGTTCGCGCAATCAATGAACTCAAAGCAAACAGTCTGTTGTGTCCCATTCCCGCTCTTTCATTAGCAACAATCTCTACATCAGTCATTTGATGCTAAAAGCAACAAAACAAGGTGTATATATGTTCGGCTAAGACACCTTCGCATTCTTCTTTAATCATGTTACCAGGTCTTAATGCCAACGGATCTAGTAACAACAGTACAATAGACAAACCCAGGAAGTTACCATGAAGTAAAGAATAGCCTCTCTGGTACATCAAAGATGATAAATGTAATGCATTACATCTAACTGGATCGGCTAAGCAGAAGAAAGAACAACAGTCTCTTAATAAGACCGCAGTTCTGATAAACCACCAGAATCAGAGTATCTTGAGAACTAGGAAATAACTTGACTATAAGTTTCAATAATAGTGTATGCTGGTCTTCATAAACTCCATAACACGTACAATTTTATATTTCTTTCTTCTTCTACTATAATTACATGACCTCCCTTCTCCTAGATTGCGCTGATCCTAGCACCTCATTTAGTTCGTAACCTGAACGTCTTCGAATTTGCGTGTGAGTACAGTTATTTTAGAGGGCGGGAAGCGCAGTGGTAGTGATGCCATTCACCACGGACACAGTACTGGTTACACTCCACATCGAACTCGCCAATACCTCCATCTTCCCAAGGTCGAGAAACTGGCACCAGACATGTCCGGGCCCAACTAAGTCTTTCCAATCCACATAGGAACGCTCTAAATGCGGCTATTCCAGGACTACAGGGATTATCTATTTAACTGCCACTTAATGACGTTTACTACGAAGATGAAACATGCTCAAGCAGTTGTCGAACCCATATGGAAAAGAAATTCGTTAATGACGGATACAAGGAAATGAATTGAACGCAAAAAGTGCTAGGATCCACACAGCAGCTTTGAATGCGTGTCTTGTAAAGTAGAAGAATAAAAAAGTTCTACTTCAGGATTATGACTTCTTCAAAAAATCTTTCAATGTTTGTCAAATTCTCGTTGAAACCTTGGAATAGTTCTCATATACCGCTTCCGGGTCCTCAACGAGGGCAATCGCCAGACCTTGTAGATAGAAGGTAACTTTTCCCAGCCAAGTTTGCTAACAAACTGCCAACTTGGAAGAGGTGGGGGTTTGATTGACACAAAATGACTCTAACTTTTATTACTTATTGGAAGCGCCCATGAATTTCCAAACTAATCTTTATTACTACTTAGCAATGGGCAAGAATAAGCAGATAGCAACATGATCGATGTGGTTAAGAAATGGTTAAATCGTCTTGCTGGAGGTTATTATTGTGTACACGGAAAATCGCTTTACTGACACGATTAGAATTTCGTCACATTGAACACTCAGAACATTTCACACCAGTTTTCAGAAGAAAGTATCTCGCGGTGGCCACCGTATAAAAATCCTGAACAGGCTGAGCCGTCTGTTTGTGATTCGTAATGAAATCACTATCGATAAAAACTTGCGTGCAACAAACATCATATTAACCTTCAAACATACCTTCGCAATTCTTTCTGGCTTTTCTGGATGGTCGGCCTCAGAAGAACTGAAGTGTTTTTCGGTGCCACTATTGTGAACTAATAACGTCTTCGTCAATACTGGTAGTGCTAAACATAAATAATCTCTTGACAGCAAACCCTTACGGAAAGAATTAAGATTAACTAAAAATAAGAGATAAGACACCCACCGCACTTCCAATCAAGCTGAGGCAGATCATCTTGGGAAATTGAGCCCGTTCTTCGACGTTTTTCTCTTTCAGGAGGAGCAAAAATATTTGTGGGATCATGCCTTGAAAACGATTGCAGAAGGAAGAATTTCATACCATACATTTTGCAACGTTTTTGAAAAAATTTTAAGCGCACTTTTCTCTTCGAAATTCACAGTCGGACTTCTAACACTTTCACGATTGCATCAGTTACGCATGAGTTACCTTTGTGGAGTTACTCATTTTGCTTCACAAATCCGACTTTCTTTACTTTTCTCATCCAGTTAAGATCTTCCGCACGAAAAGTGTTGTTCCGGTCATCGCCCGAGTAAAGCTACCCAGTATGCAAAAAGCTTTAAGATGGGTTTGTTCGTATCGTTTCTTCGTTCGCAAACTGTTGCGAGTAATATCCACGCTAGTGTGAGGACGAAGGATGAATAATGAGATTTCCTTCCTACCGCAATTACTTGTCCTTTGAATTCAGAAAGTAATACTGATACTATTTCAAAACCGACTTTTCTTTCACCTCGGTATCACTAGTCAATACGTATTCTTCTTTTGATGAGCTTACACGACGTTGATAAATAACCTTTATTCGGCTAACATCTCAACGTCGTCTTCGTCAGAGCCAAAGATCCGAGTTGATAGTCATACCGTTTTCCCTCTGATGAAGACGAACACGACGGTATGTTACCCGAATAAGGATTATTTATCAACCTAGGATAAACCCATCAAAGGAAGAATACATAACAATAACGCTGCTGCTATTGAGTAGAGTACCTTATGCCTTTTCTGTGGAGGTGAACGAGAAAGAAGTGTGTCAATCACACAGGATTAAGCGAGTGCTGTTCAATGCATACAACGCAACTTACTTGGATGGCCCGTCTTCACTATTTGTGCGGACCACAGCATAATTTCTTTTATCGGAGTTTTGTTGGCCTAGGCAGTGGAGTTCATTGAAGTCCCCAGGTCGACCTGACCAAAGTCTGCCCCAAGTCGTCACCACCACAGACAGTCGCCGTCTCTGTGGATCAGAGAGAGATTTGCCCACCATGCGACAAGTTTAATACCAGGACAATGGTGAATCTCAGTATTGGTTCACTTTGAGCTGGGATTCCTGATGGAAACGCCGGACTCCTTCTTAGCTTGGGAGACCCTGCTGAGAGGACGAATCCCCCCGCTGTACATCGCAGCCCGACACCCAGGAACACCTCCCAGCCACGATGAGGCGGTAAACCGTTGGGAGGATACAATGCAACAGAACGAAAAATTAGACGTGATGGCAAAAGTGTTGAACAATACTTCCACAATATGAAATTTCTTCGCAAACACCGAACACTCAAGGCTACTTACGGACTGCTTCGAAAATCACAAGAAATGTAAAATGTGAAGTTTCAGTGTTATTTTCAAAACTATATGAACTTACAATATCCATGGGATATCTTTCCATGGTCCAACAATATGGTAAAAGTCGAAACAGGTCCAGATACTTCTCAAAATCGAAATGATGTTGAGACACGATTCCACAGTGCTGAATTATATGAACGCGATCTAATTTTGCTAATTTTGTTTCAAAATTCAACATTGACCCTTTCGGTCAAAGTAAACTTTGCAGATTCTAGACAGTCACCGCTACTGCTATGGATGATATTATCAAGCAGCACAAGTAGAGTTTATGCTAGATATATCGCCAAAACAAGTAATCTGTCCTATACTTGTTTCACTGACATATGTCTCTAAAACACACGTAGCTTTAGTGGCAATTAGATAACTATTTAGAAAAACTCGGCAAGAACAGTACAAATACCTAGTTTTAGGAGGACTTGATATTTTAACAGGTAATGGCTTGTAACCACATAGAACACGGACACATCGATGAACTCCCACTGATAATACGCTGTGGTTATATCCGCCCTAGAAAAATGTTTTAAGACAAAGAAACTAAAAGAGCAAATTTTTTTAAGAGAAACATGAAATGCTCGACTTTCAAATACTTGGATACTTGGATGGCCCGTCCTCACTGGTTGTACGGGTCTTAGGACAATTTCCACTTTCTCCGAATGTTGCTAGTTTAACCATTGTGATTCCTTGAAGTACAGAGAGGTTAGTCTAGCCAAAGTTGCCCCAGGTCGCCACCACTACAAACAGTCGCAAGCCTTGTGGATCAGAAGGAGATTTGCGCCTTCCTAATGGAAACGCTGGACTCCTTCTCAGCTTAGGATGAATCCCCTCCCCGCTATACATCGCAGCCCGACACCCAGGAACACCTCCTAGCGACGATGAGGCGGTAAACCGTTAGGAGGGGAGTTACAAATATCCAACCAAAAATGGAAAAATCAACCCAAGTGGTAAATGCCCAAATTTTAAAAAAAAGGTGAACGCACAGATCCTTTAGACATCGCACACACCTTCAACGTACATGTAATATGCATAGTAAACATTCCACTGGATGTTATTCCATCAATCCAAAAGGAACACATGTGAATTGAGGGTGAATAAGAACAAATCCAAATTTTTTACTAACACACTAATATCAATTAATCAGTTAATATGATATAGAGTCAGGTTTAGAGCAGTAGACAGGGGTAACCTGCAGTACACACATTGGTCCTTAGTTCAATCCCTCGCGTAAGGTCAATCTAGTCTCGAATCTCACCAGCTCGAAAAATTGGAACCAGAGATGTCTAGATAGGTAGAAACACTGACATCGATAGAACATTGCACGCCGTTAGTATAAGACAAACATGCAGTTACGTCTGCGATGCTAAATGGAGTTGAATGAACAGCACATCTCTCAGGGATGGTCGACGCTATAAGCTCTATCTTTTATTGAATATATCTTTCTACCTCTGTTCAGCAAGCACGAGGTGCTATTTATAAGTAAGTATAATGGTAAATACCTTAGTAAATAGTAAATAAATACCTTAGTAAATAGCACCTCGTGCTTGCTGAACAGAAGTAGAAAGATATATTCAATCAATGCCGAGGTTAATAGAAAGTCGGACTTGGGAGTTACTACAAGATGTACCAGCAAGATATTTCCGACTTGCAAAAGAAGCACTGTCACTAAGACAAAAGATCGTCTTAGCTCAACAGTCAATACACTTTCTCCGCCGCTGCATAAAACACCAAGTCGTTCCAAAATTCATAAAAAGAAAACGTTTATCTTTTATCTTTTATGCCTCAAAATATTCGATGAGGAAAGGACTTCCATTTAAACATTGCAAAAATGCCTACCTAGAGACGTACCGCCATTTCCTACTAACAATTGTTACCATCAACTCAACAAACCGAGCATGGTGGTTCAAACTCGCTCCAGATCTATCAGGCCTTTCATTCTTTCTGGATCGCCAAATTGGTACCATATTTGGATGGGAAGAGTTCACTCCTTGCAGCAAAATTGGAGACGCTCCAGCACGGATATCTCACGACTAAAGAGAGAATCGACTCGACCAGTATTCCACGATATTTATGAAGAAGGCGACAATCCGTAAGCATGGGTCGAACCCACACGCAAAAAGCTCGAAGACCTTCACGAATGACAGATGTGAGGAAACGAATCGAATGCAATTAGGGCTAGAATCCGCATAGAAGATGTGAAGATGGATCGTATAAAAAACCCAGTAGATGACAAAACGTGAAGCATTGACAAGAAAAAAAAAGAAACCTCAAGTATCATCAGAAGTTTACCGCGCGCAAGGGCACTTAAATGGTAGATGACGTGAGCATATGCGTCAGCCGAGAGACGCATTTCTCCAACCGGGTCACCATCACAACTATCATATCCTGCAAATATTTGGTAACCACAATGATGCTGAGATATTTGCAAAACTCCGGACCGCGTTGGGACCGAATACACTACTGCTCTTTCCGAGAACTAACGCGGTCACCACTAGACCATGCGGGTCCTTCGTTTCGCCTTTTTTTCAACTAGCTTTTCTCCAGTATTTCACAACCATTTTAAACTGCACAAGAAACCGATGAAGTTGTAAATAATAAAAATGAAAAAAGGATGAGCAGATAGAGAAAAAAACAAGTGATGTACCATAGAACAAACATTTTAAAGCCTCACCCGCAGAGACAATGACAAAATCTGGATTGAACTGAGTAGCCAAAGGCCATATAATATTCCAAAAAACAGCCATATAGTCAGCATCTCCACAACCGACCTATAGATATTGTAAGAAGACTGTGTAAAAGGAAAGAACAAATGGAATGAATGAAACGTGGAACAGATAACGAAACGTATGTAATATATGGACACAGAGTATACCTCGTTCAAAGGAATATTCACATTGTATCCTCGACCTTCAGACGCGCCAATGTGGTCATAATTAGATTCTTTAAGATGTGGCCAGAATTTCCCATTTTCATAACGATGTATCGAAATGAACATAACCCTGATAAAAAAAAATTAAATACCACAATGAGAATACTTTATGCAGAAAAGCTAGGTGATAACCTTTTATCTTCATAGAAAATCTGTTGTGTACCATTACCATGGTGAACGTCCAAATCGACTATCAAAATCCTTAAGTAAGAACGCTTATTAACGCACTAGGAAGTTGCTCTCAACATTTCGTGCTAAACAGTTAAGGAATACAACCACAACGATGGCGAGATATTCGCAAAACCTGGACCCCGGGCCAGATTGAGCGAGCCGTCGGAAAGGGTGATCGTGGTTCGATCTCGCCTGGGGTCGAAGTTTTTAGTTGAGAGAAACGCAAAGCAAAGGTCCCAATAGTGCAGTGTGTAATACGCAACACCTGGAAAGGGTAATCGTGATTCGATCTGGGCCGTGATCCACGTTTTGCGAGCATTACAGCACCGTTGTGGTTGTATTTCACACCAGACCCTTCAGCGAAAAAAATACAGTATGCAGCAAATAAAAAGGTAAAATAATTAAAAGATACCTATCGGCACCAAAATCAAAAGCTGCTTCGGCTGCTTGGGCAGCGTTGTTGAAAAGACAGAAGCCAGAAGCGGAATAGCGATCAGCATGATGCCCGGGAGGTCGAACCAATGCAAATGCGTTGGGGATCTTCAATATTGACAGGAATAAAAGAGTCAATATGGCAATGTTTACAAAAACAGAAATGTAGAAACCTTATTTGTTACTATGCCCTCAGCTAACCACCGACAGCATGAAACAGCAGACTGGGCAGCATTCGCCGAGCCCTGTTGATTCACGTGTAATTTAAAAATAGAAAGAAAAAAGTAACAATAAAATAACCAAACTCGAAATGAAAAATAAAAGAAGATGCTGACCGGAGTCATAAATACAGAGTCATAGTCCTCGGAGAGATGATTCAACGACTCCTGGTCCATCAGAATCGCTTCCTTCAACAACTTGTTCACGTGAGATTCTGAGTGCGACTGACGGAGGTCCAAGTCATCCAAAGAAGGAAACTCCTAAACATCAAAAGACCACAAGCATCCAGTAATGTTGCCTATACCTTCATAGAATAAGACGCGAATTCTAACAACTTACATTTACTTCTTGGCACTCACGTAACAAGCCGCTTTGTTGGAGTACGGACCGACAAATCTCTATCCTATCAGGACATTCCGGATGCCTCTTACAAATTGTATTTTTGTGTAAATGCTGGTATTTGTTGAAACCTATCGTTGTCTTACATTCTAGGGAGTCATAAACGTCCATAAACACCTGAAAAAAAGAGAAAAGAACTGCTGGCTTCCGAAGAAAGTCTAAGTAGAAGAAAACCCAATACTATCGTATAAAAAGTGGACAGCTGTTTGATAGTTAGAAGATTAACCTGATATGTGGACAAACGATACAATGAAATCTGAATAGCATTTAAAGACGACTGAATGCCTTACGTTCGATTCAATACATACTTTTTAGATCAAATACAAGTTGAAGCGGTGATCGTAATGAAAGATTCCTTGGTATGAAAAAAAAGAAAAGGAAAAAGTAATGGAAAGAATGACTGAAAAGAGTTAAGGAAACTCGGCATCTAGTTAAATCCAGACTTGCAAAAGGACGGTGAAGTTTGGAAAAACGAAGGCAAAATTGACACTAAACGGAAGACCACGATCAGCAGCTAAGCAGGGAAACTTCTGAAACCGCTGTCGAATCTGCCTGTCAGGCATCGAGCAATATCAGAACGCAAGCAGTACTTCGATCAGACCACGAGAACAAGAGAACATGAACCAAGTCATCCAGAGAAGGAAACTCCTAAACATCAAAAGACCACAAGCATCCAGCAATGTTGCCCATACTTTCATAGAATAAGACGCGAATTCTAACAACTTACATTTACGCGTTCACGAACACGCTCGTGAACTTCCCAGCTCAGTAAACACTTGAGTGGTAGCTAGCCTATGCGCGGTTGGTGCAGCACGATCGAAAAGCTCAAGATGAACTTTAGTGTTCGAAATAAGAGCCATTAGAGTTTACGTACAACATGGAGTTCCAGCGTTCTGGATGCGACGAGTCAGGCATTCGAAAACATTTCCGGCAACGGCTTAGTCGTGGAAGACGTTGCCAACCAGTAGTTGTCGAGGTGCGTGAAAGAGCGATAGCTGGCGAGGGTTTCGATATGGACGTTGGCTGAGGACGGGCTCTTCCTAGCTCGATTCGTTCGACATTCGACTTTTGACCTGTCTGCAATGTATGGTGGAGCACCGTCATGAGCGCAAAGCATTTCACTTTTGCACTGGATTTTTTTGCGGGGATTCATCGACCACTAGCGGAATTTCTCTATCGTGATCGTCTTGCCAAGACTGAACGTTTTTCATTTGATGATCCAGTTTACCGAAAGCAAAAACGTCCCCACGATCATCTTTTAATAAACACGGCTCTGGAGAATGCTTAAAGCCTCGTCAGAGTTCAAACTCTCCGTTGTACATTGTTGGCTTTGTGACGACCACCGCGCTACCAATCGTTCAATTCATGCGGCACCCATCTATCAAACTTCATTCCTTCGAGTAACGAACAACTGCTGAATTCTGAATGCAGATTCTTCTATAAACTTCTTCTATAAAAGTAGTTTCCATAAGTACATGTTCGGCTACCAGCTTCACATGGTCATCATCCAATGCCGATAAACGTCCGCTATCCCCTCCGTCATGAAACTCTCCCCGGACGGAGCTTCATGGACCATATGTGATCGCTTAGAAGTCCCTTCGTGACATTTCTCTCGCGTTGTTCTACCCTCGGTTCTAACTTCTTGATGGATAACGATGCGGATTCCACAACATGAAAGCATCACTTCCATCCAGCCTTGTAGCCATGGTGAACTAAGTGTCGGAAAAAAGTACTGCACAACAAATTGCTTAGAAAGAAACAAGTTCTAACGCTTTGTAAGGCAGCAATTTTAAGGATCAATATTTACTAAAAAAAAAATGCCTGTAGAACTTATAATTGGAAAATATGAACCGTTTATGCATCACGTTGCTCCAAAATGCGTGTTTGCACGCCTATTTGACAGAGAGTCCGTAATTGCAGACCGCCTGCGCCTCTGACTCTGACACAAGTGCCGCACGTGACCCATGTGCGAGAGAGCACAGTGAACCACAGCTGAATGTGATGATCCATCACCGCAGTACCTTTCCAGTCCTACGCGCTAGAACAGAAGGGTCATTTCCAATGTCTCCAAAAGAGATCTCACGAGGAATTATAAGAAAGTAGTATGGACAGAACGGCGCATGTGGCGCAGTGGTCGGAGGTGCCCTGCAATACGCATGGGATCGATCCCCTCGCCCAAGGCTCACTAAGCCTTCCATCTCGCCGGGGTCGGCAAATTGGTACCAGACTTATCTGGGAGGATCGCAGTACTGGCTCGATGCATCTGCAAGCCACTACGATTCATTGTAAAAGCCAGATATGCATTCGGTCACCTCCAAAGATGCTTAATGAAGTCGAATGCATGGCCCGAGAGTTTAGTCCCTCTATCCTTTAATACGGACAGGACCTTAGAACTTTCGGTGATGTCAATCCATTAAAATTTGTATGGGTTACTCAGGGCGTATATTTGGAAAGCACTCACTCTAACGACGGAGACGTTGGTTGCGGACATGATGATGTAAGCAAAGTACGTGTCGTCATCGGGTTGACTGGTTCTCTGATGTCTTAACTGGACAATTGCGGTTAACAGAGAAGATTTGGACCAATTGCAGCTTTGATAATCTTTCTCGCCAACACAATGAGGTGACGAAGACCAGGCCGAAGGACGAGTCCAAATCATCTACAAACTTGTATGGGACTTCCATGAAGTTCTATAGAGGAAGTCATATCTTCTATGAGCTTACTTTTGGAAACTTAAACGCCATGGTTGGCACGAAGGGAGCTCTGAGCAACACTACATTGGGTTCCTTGGTTAGGAATAAAGTGATCGTAGTAAAGGAATGTACGAGTTTATGACAAGGACCAACACCATTTATGGCATCACACAATTCCAGAACTCTTGATCTACACATTGGACATGGAAGTTTCCCAAGATAAAGTGTAAGCCGTCACTAGCATTATCTGTCTTACCCCTAATCGTTGAGTTACCCATTAAGCACTGGTAAAGTTGCTATTTGAAGGTTTCACGTTCAAAATTAGATTTCGTTCGCTCCAAGAACTTGGAGAGAATGTTTGTTCTCTACGATCTTCATGAAAGTCGGTGGTCTCTGTACTTTTTGGGACTGTGTACTTTATTTAGTGAGATTCAGTATCTGTTGGTTCGTACCCATCGGTTACCGCGGAGACGCATCATGTTTCCTACCCACTTGATTTTCAGTGCTTTGTCGTACAACACGGTCTGCAATCTTGGTCGCCAACGTTACCTCGAAGTCGGGACTTTCGATGCCCTCTCTTACTTTGTTGGTATGGGATAATACTGGCGCCACTCTTGATAAGGCGTCGTGGCTTTGTGTTTGAGTGGTCTTCCGTTTTACTCACGTATCTTACAGAATTCCGATCCGTACCTTAATTAGGAAGAACCGTATCACCTGAACCATTTCGTCCTTTGATCGTTCAGTGACTCGAGCGGGCGCAGTTAAGCCTTCCATTTCTCCCTGTCGAGCGCAAGAGAAGCCCAGTTGGTTCTGCTCGCTCTGGTGAACTTTCGTGAAGAACTCTGGCCATCGGTTCGATGGGTCTTCCCGCAGTACGTTTGACATCCCGAGGACTTCAGTTACTAACGACTCTTTTCAATCGGTTGCCGTTCATACGCATTACGCGTCCGGCCCACCTTATCTTCCATAGTTTGGCGTACAGAACGGCATCTTTGATTTTTGGTCGTTGGCACAGATCGGAGCCCCGGATCCATTCCCTTACTAGCGTGATACGGGAGACTACTAGCATCGTCCTTTCGACAATGCTTCCTATAACGCTGGGTGATCGTTGATCCTGCTTACGTAGCGATCAGATTTCTGACGCATACGTTAAGGCCGTAGGAACGGTAGAGCTAAAAATGTGGTCATGCACTCCTTTACCCCTTTAGCATATTATCTACACTCTTATCAGCTCCACCTACAGCTTTTTTCTCCCGCACAGCTCTGAGCGAAGTCGTTGAACATGTTGACTTATCCATCCAGATGCAAATAGCCGAATCATCCGTGGATATTCTTAACATTGAGCTTAGGTGGAGCACCAGAAACGAAGCCGTATCCCCTGAACATCGTTTTCTCCGAGATTCAAGCCAGGACTTATTTTTCCCTAGGCGTCTCCGCTGTCGAGAACTACTCGTTTTGTTTGGGTAACATTTAATACTGTAGGAATGATAGCAATAACAAGCAAAGTGGCGGTGGTGGAATTGCCGACCGCCGACATTCACTCCCATGTTGTTCCATTCCAATTTTCGCATAACATTATCGATAGCGGCTGTACTTACCTTCGTCTTGATCGCTTTCGGGTTATCCAAACGCTGTCTTTAAGTGGGTGTTAATATCTTTATAGAATGGTGACATTCTTGTCCTAAATTTTATATAGCTCATGAAAGATCTGTACTGAATACTGAAACCTTGGCTTTAAGAGCTTCCATTACCGCTTCTATCCCAGCCGTCTGAAAGGCCTCTTATTTAGATAATCATTATTTAATTCGAAAGACCGACTTTCCATAAACCTCGGCATAGATAGCTGATATACTTATTTATGTGATCTTATAAACCGATCTTCTTAAGCTGACCCGAGGCTGGTACAGGTTATCGTTGTCGTTGTCGTTGTTTTTGATGTCATTGATCGATGGCCGACGTTTCGGCGACTTCGCCGACCCACACGTGAGTCTCATACGTAGCATCACGGCTCTGAGGAAGGCGAAGTCGCCGAAACGTCAGTTATCGATCAATAACATCAAAAACAACGACAACGACAACAAAGACCGTACCAGCCTCGCGTCAGTTTAAGAAGATCAGTTTATAAGATCACATAAATAAATCATTATTTATTTTTTTATTCCACGCGACCCGTCTTCACATCTACCGTGGCGGTCCTAGTTCTCCTTGAATTCTATTCATTTTCTCGTAACCATTATCCACGAAGGTCTTCGAACTTTTCGGGTATGGGTTCGGTTGCTGCCGGAGGGTTTGCGTCATTGTTATGAATGTTCTTGAATACTGGTCTACTCGATTCTCCCACGAACCCTGGGATATTTGGGCTAGAGCGCTCTCACTTATATTGCAGGAAGTAGACGACTCCGAGGGATGAGAGGCTTG